CCCAAAGCTGCTATGCTTCAAACCTGTTCCCCAAAGCAGCTCCCCAAAGCTATTCTCCAAAGCGGCTCCTGAAAGCTGCCCCGCAAAGTTGCTACCGAAAGCTGCCCCACAAAGTTGCGTCCTAAAAATTATTAATCCCCAAAGCTGCTCCCCAAAGCTGCAATTCTTTAAAGCTGCTCCTCAAAGCTGCTCCTGCTTCCCAATGCTTCTCCCCAAACCTGCTCCACACAAAGCCGCTCCCCAAAATTGTTATCGAAAGCTGCTCCGAACAGTTGCTCCCCCAAGCTGCTAAAGCTGCCCCCGAAAGTTGTTTCCCAAAGCTGCTTCCCAAAGTTGCTTTCTAAAGCTACTCCCCAAAGCTGTTGTTCTTCAAAGCAACTGTTCGTCAATGCTGCTGCAAAGCCGCAAAGTTGCTCCCCACAGTTGCTCCCCAAAGCTGCTCTTCGGAGTTGCTACCGAAAGCCGCGTCCCAAAGAAGCTCCGCCAAACTCCAAACTCCAAAGCTGCTCCCCGAAGCTGCCTCAGTTCGCCAAAACGGCTCCCCAAAGCCATTCTGCAAAGCGATACCCGAAAGCTGCACCCCAAAGTTGCTACCGAAAACTGCTCCCCAAAGCTGTTGCTTCAAAGCTGCGATTCTTCAAACCTATGCCCCAAAGCGGCTCCCCAAAGCTATTCTGCAAAGCGGCTCCCGAAAGCTAGTTGCCACTGAAAGCTGCTCCCCAAAGTTGCTTGTAAAGCCGCCCCCGAAAGCTGCCCCCCAAAGCTGCTGTTCTTCAAAGCAATTGTTCCTCAAAGTTGTTCCGGAAAGTTTGCCAAAGATGCTCCCCAAACAGTTCCCCGAAGCTGCTTCCCAAAGCTGCTCCCCAAAGCACCTCTGCAAAGCGGTTGCCCCAAAGCGGCTACTCCCCAAAGATATTCTCCAAATCGGCTCCCGGAAGCTGCTCTGTTCACCAAAACGGCTCCCCAAAGCTATTCTGCAAAGCGGCCCCCGCGAAAGCTGTGCCCGAAAGTTGCTACCGAAAGCTGCTCTCCGAAGTTGTCTGTAACGCTGCCCCCAAAAGCTGCTCCCCAAAACTGCTGTTCTTCAAAGCAATTGCTCTGCAAAGTGGTCAAAGCTGCTCCCCAAAGCTGCTCCCCAAAGCTGCTCCCCCCAAAGCGGTTCCCCCGAAGCTGCTTCCTAAAGCTGTTCCCCAAAGCACCAAGCGGTTGCCCCAAAGCGGGCGGCTATGCTTCAAACCTGTTCCCCAAGTCCGCTCCCCAAACCTATGCTCCAAAGCGGCTCCCGAAAGCTGCTCCCCAAAGTTGCTGCCGAAAGCTGCCCCCCAAAGTTGCGTCCCAAAGATCATTAATCCCCAAAGCTGCTCCCCAAAGCTGCGGTTTTCAAAGCTGCTGTTCGAAGCTGCCGCGCAAAGCTGCTCCTCAAAGCTGCTCCTTCTTCCCAAGGCTGCTCCCCAAAGCTGCTCCACAAAGCTTTTTCCCAAAGCCGCTCCCCAAAGTTGTTATCGAAAGCTGCTCCGAACATCTGCTCCCCCAAGCTGCTAAAGCTCTCCCAAAGTTGCTTTCTAAAGCTACTCCCCAAAGCTGTCGTTCTTCAAAGCAACTGTTCGTCAATGCTGCAGCAAAGCCGCAAAGTTGCTCCCCACAATTGTTCCCCAAAGCTGTTCTCCAAAGTTGCTACCGAAAGCCGCGTCCCAAAGAAGCTCCCCAAAACAGCGCGCACAGGCTAAGGAAGCAATCACAGTGTGTGCGGTAGAAGGCGGGTGCAGCAAGCGGGCAGTCTCGCAGAGGTGCGTGCTAGAAAAAGCATAGTTGCAATAGCGCAGAAGCTAGGCAAGCAAGGGCAATAGCTCGACCTAGGGGGAATCGAACCAGGGGAGAGTCGAGGGACCGTCATGGGATTGCGACATGGGACCAGGACTGGGACCGCAAAATGAAAATCTCAAAAAAGTCGGCCTATTTTGGAATTTCCGCTTTTCAAAATTTCAAAATAATCGGATTATTTCGGTGCCATCGGGGAAGTCCTAAAAAGGTCGAGCAAAAGAGTATTCGCTACGTCTTCGTGCAGGCTAAAGATGTATCCGGCCAGAAATCCAAAATAATTGACTTTTTTGTGATTTTCGGACCAGCCGATTTGCTCGCGCGTGTGCGGTGCCACCCTTACCGTAATATTCGCAGTAATATTTATTATATTTATGTTTGGATATTTCTGGTTTATGTTGATTTTTCCATATCAGATTTTGAATTCTGTGGGGTTCAATAGTTTTGGTGGTGGTAGTTTTCATATAATATTTTTTATTTTTTGAATAAGAAGGTGGCTGTTTGGTCCGGTTGGTGGGAAAGCGGGAAGAAAATTCTTCTATCTGACGCCCTCAAACATTTAAAAATTGTCATGAAAAGAAGACCAAACTACAACCACATCCATAACCATGACCACAACCGCAACCACAACCACAACTACAACTACAACCACCACCACAACTACAACTACAACCGCAACCACAACTACAACCACAACCACGACCACAACTACAACTGACTACAACTACAATGAGAACTACAACTCCTCCGCGCTAAACTAATTACACTAGTTACACTAAGTACACTAATTACATCTAATTACACAAATTACACTAATTACACAAATTACATTAATACTACTACGACGACGACGACTACTACTACGACTACTACTACGACTGCTACTGCTACTGCTACCGCTACCGCTACTACTAATATAACTCCTCCTACTACTACTACTACTACTAAAGCTCTGTGTACTGCGCCTGCCAGGCAAAAGGCAGCCGCAGGCCAGCGGCGGCCACCACGCCGCAGCTCCGCCAGGAAGCTCTGTGTACTGCGCCTGCCAGGCAAAAGGCAGCCGCGGGCTAGCGGCGGCCACCGCGCCGCAGCTCCGCCAGGAAGCTCTGTGTACTGCGCCTGCCAGGCAAAAGGCAGCCGCGGGCCAGCGGCGGCCACTGCGCCGCAGTTCCTCCAGAAAGCTCTGTGTACTGCACCTGCCACGCAAAAGGTCTGTGCGGAGGCTCTGTGTACTGCGCCTGCCAGGCAAAAGGCAGCCGCGGGCCAGCGGCGGCCACTGCGCCGCAGTTCCTCCAGAAAGCTCTGTGTACTGCGCCTGACTGAGTGAGTGAGTGAGTGAGTGAGGAAGGTGAGTGAGTGAGGAAGGTGAGTGAGTGAGGAAGATGAGTGAGTGAGGAAGATGAGTGAGTGAGGAAGATGAGTGAGTGAGGAAGATGAGTGAGTGAGGAAGATGAGTGAGTGAGGAAGATGAGTGAGTGAGGAAGATGAGTGAGTGAGGAAGATGAGTGAGTGAGGAAGATGAGTGAGTGAGTGAGTGAGTGAGTGAGTGAGTGAGTGAGTGAGTGAGTGAGTGAGTGATTGAGTGAAGAAGATGAGTGAGTGAGTGAGTGAGTGAGTGAGTGATTGAGTGAGTGAGTGAGTGCGTGCGTGCGTGCGTGCGTGCGTGCGTGCGTGCGTGCGTGCGTTGGGTGGGTGGGTGGGTGGGGGTTGGGTGGGTGAGTGGTGGAGATGAGATGTGAATGAGGGAGATAGGGAGTGAGTGATGAGTGAGGAGGAGGCGGCGGAGGAGGCGAAGGAGCGGAGCCCCGGCGGGATTCAAGCGAAAAACAAGAACCCCACACAGTGATGCGGGGAACAATTATATAATTTAAATATATATATATATATATATTTTAAATATTTAATTTTATAAACATATTTTTTTAAATATATTATTATTAAATGTTTATATTAGTTTAAAATATTTAATTATATTTCAAAATTTATTTAATTAATTTAAAATTCAAATTTATAATTAACATAAATATTTATATTTATTAAATAATAAAAAAATATTATATGAAATAAATACCTAGTTTATTTAAATATATTTAGGTTATATATTTACAGAATTTTTATAGAATATAGTTTTTGCAAATCATTTGTGGTTATATGACCCGATGTTGGCGTGGCTATCCACTTCTATGGTATAGTTCTTCAGGTTTGTAGTGTCCAGTACAGTCGTCTGCTGAGCGGCATCCACAAACTTTTTTGTTAAAGGTGCCAGAAGGCGTGGTCAAATCATTGTCATAGTGGCGCGCAAAAGCATCAAAGTCTAGTAGATCACCATAGGATTTTGGCCCATGCCAACACTTGTACTTGAACACATCTTTGTAACCGTAGCTCTTGTGGCCGGGCATTTCGCTTTTCCAGGCCATACTCTTTGCAGCTTTTTGCTTGAACCACCCAGCCTTCCACTTTCCTGTTTTTGCATAGTTGCACAACTTTGCCATACACTTCTCGCGGACAGACTCCACAACGTAATTCCACATTTTCTGCTTTTTCTCAACCTTGCAGAAGTCAGCATCGCCACCAGCCTTGACGTAACAAAACTCCACTCTCTCGTCCATAGTGTCATCATATCCCGAACCGTACTGCAGCTTCACATAGTCATCAACATCTGGGAAATACATGAAGAATTCATTACAATACTCCGTACCTACATTGGTTCTCGAATAGATTTTCCACTTGTTCGTCCGTACATTCTTGAAGCCTTGGCGGGTTTGCTTGAGATACACCAAGACAATTTCAAAGTCTCTACATTCCCCCAAAAGTATGAATGATTTGCGGAACCATGTGGAATCCGAAAATCGAAACAACAAATGCTGGGCATGCTGAGCGGCTCGATTTCCAGACCTTCACCCAGTCAGGCGCTGGGCTCCGTCCATCACACCAGTCCGATGAGGAGTGGGTCATCTCAATCCGTGCTGCCTCGCCGATGCACATTGAAATTACCAATTGCCAAACGTATACCATGGCAACTTCAAGACTTGAATGAAGACAACCGATTTCCCGAACCTACAGGGAATTGCACTTGAGCCAAAAGCTCCGCACGTCACGAGATTTGATTGTAACGATTTGTTCCGAATCTTCTCAGCATTGGGGAAGTTGCTATTGCCGTTCGCAGTGCCGCATCCCGGATGAAGCCTTGAAGAGAACAAAGTCACAAAGACCAAAAAGCTGCTGCGAATCGCCAAGGGCTGAGGATATGATCAAAAGGATTTGCAGAACAAACGTCTGTCTCAACTTGAAATGCGGCTCGTGCAAGGCCAAGTGTAGAATCTGCAAGAGCCGTTGGGTTTCAGCACGAGACATTGGGGAATGTGACAATTCTATAATTCTATATCATTTTCATTACAAGCAATAACCCTACTGCTACTGCTACTGCTACTGCTACTGCTGCTACTGCTGCTGCTACTGCTGCTGCTGCTACTGCTGCTGCTGCTAACTGCTACTGCTACTGCTGCTGCTTCTACTGCTGCTACTTCGGCTGCTGCTACTACTGCTGGTGCTACTGCTGCTACTGCTACTGCTGCTGCTGCTAACTGCTACTGCGGCTGCTGCTGCTACTGCTGCTACTGCGGCTGCTGCTGCTACTGCTGCTACTGCTGTTCCTGCTGCTGCTCCTGCTGCTGCTCCTGCTGCTGCTCCTGCTGCTGCTCCTGCTGCTGCTCCTCCTCCTGCTCCTGCTACTGCTCCTGCTGCTGCTACTGCTGCTACTGCTGCTAATGCTGCTACTGCTGCTACTGCTGCTCCTGCTTCTACTGCTGCTACTGCTGCTCCTGCTGGTTCTGCTACTGCTGCTACTGCTACTGCTGCTACTGCTGCTATGCTACCACTACTACCACTGCTACTACTGCTACTACTGCTACTACCGCTACTACTGCTACTACTGCTACTACTACTACTACGACGACGACGACGATGACGACAACGACGACGACCACGACGACCATGACCACGACCACGACCACAACCAAAACCACAACCGCAACCACAACTACAACTACAACTAACTAAATTAATGCAACTACAACTATACCACACTGCATCCAGCAAGTTGTGGTGGAGGTGACCACTGCAGAAAGCACAACTCCAACCACCTTTCGATCCATCAGTGACTTCCCTCTGCCATCCATGCATCACAACAGCTCACATCTCCTATAGTTTCCTATCTTTGAAACTTCCGCCAGCGCCTTGCGCAATACTACTAGTATTTACACTCGCTGACACCATCGTTTGCCCAAGAATTCAAAGGCCACAACATGCACAGATATCTTAAGCTAACTATCACTACAGGTGGGTCAACACAACATGATCATATATGTTGGGATATTGATCATACCATACTGCCATACGGATCAAAACGTAGAGGCATGGAAATCGTACCATGATTGGATACATAGCATGCAATGTGGGGTCTCTATTCTGCTTTAACAAGCAATTAACTAATCATGCAGATTCAATGTTATCCATATCTGAAGTTCATGGCAACATTGACACTTCGCCGTGCCGCAGTAACACACAGTCGCGGCCCAAAGGGAATGAAGGCTTGGCAGCTCCTGTTTGCTACAACAAATTACCTGTATTATAAGATTACCATCTTCCCCATGACCCCTGACAGATACATATCATTACCATTTAGGTTCAGTTTTTTGTTGGGGTGGGGTATCCTACTTGTCATGGTGGTGATGATGATGATGATCCTTTCCGGTCCGGGTAAACGATGGCGTTTGACAGTATTTATACTAAATATGCGTTTAGTTCTCCGTCTATTATAGGTATATATGCAAAATTAAATGTTACGAGTAGCATTCTTGTTCATATAATCGAAAGTGACAGTGGATCTGCGCATTGCGCCAAAGAAAGTATTTGTAGTTGTAAATATATACATAATGGACGTGTTTGTGCTGTAAAATTTGTAGGTCATATGAATCATATATGGTCATTGAGTCATATTAAATGTATCATATTGCAGGTGGTGTTGTGTCTCCTATTCCTATTGTACGTCGTCTTGCTTTGTCGCGGTGCACATCTTGCACGTCATGTCACGCATCATGTTGTACGTCATGGCAAGTCGTCTTGCCAGTCGTATTGCCCATCATATCATCTGACCGCATGCTGCGCATGCAATGCATGGAAAATTGCAGGCAAAACCCGGCATGAAACGATAACTATGCCAATATATGTTCATTTCTGACAAGCACAGCACTCCATTCGAGATCGGTAACATTATGCAGCGCTGCTTGTTGATTGCTTTGTCGCAATCTGTATTGGTCAGGGACATGCTAGGATAAAGTATAGTTTCATGTGGCAACGCCTCTCAATTGCAATGGACGCCACATGTTCATGCATGCAATCTGCATCTTAAATCTTTCAATCAAGTTTTTTTTGAGGTATGGCGTATGGCCCAGTATTGTATAGTATTGTCTTGAAACAACATCCACGGTCAACGAATGCTTTTTGCCAAGGCATCGAGTGTTGGTAGTCGTCATCAATCTGTGGGTTGTGGCTTCATCGCTGGAAAAAGAATCACCTCCTTGATGTTGTTCTTATCTGCCAGCAGCATGACCTCAGCCACGCCAAAAAGGCCCAAAATCAGTGATGTGGGAGACTGGGGACCTCTAACATATGCCGCCAATCAGTCGGCAAAACCCATTCGAATGAACTGATGTCATTTTGTAGGGGCATGACATGGGAGAGAATAGCTTCACTAAAAATTGTTGCGATCTTTCTTAAGAAGGTAAACAACAAGACACCACCATTCCATATTGTAGATATTTTGGCAGAAGACCTGTCATTTTGTAGGGGCGTGATGGGGGGTGGCTATACAGCAAATAATCAAACATACGCGTTTAAAACATATACTCGCTACACACAAAAGAGCGAGAAGAGAGAGATAGAGAGAGAGAGAGATAGAGAAACAAAAACCTGGCAAATCAGGTGATACTTGGGTCTGTCGGTATTTCAAAAATTTAATTATATACACGTGGAATATCGTGGAATACTTTAGCAAAATCACAACATGTTACATGTTTTCCTGAAACCCAATGGATTCACTACAAAATGCAGGGGTTCCAATTTTAAAGAGTCCTCCATGGGACCCGGTAATTTCACTACAAAGTGCCTGGCCTTGGAAAGTCCCTTTTGCAAACTAATTTCTATCTTCATCCATGGACCCTGGTATTTTTTCTACAAAATGCCATGGTCTGCCAAAGTCGAAGTGGGCCCTGGACCTTTTTTCAAGGTGGCCTCACTACAAAATGACCTATAAAACCACATTTTGTAGTGGCCTTGAGGCCATAAATTCTGCATGGGAAATTGCAAGGGGGATATTCTGGAACATATCATCCCATCTCAACCCATATTTGCATCTGTTGTGTTGCGGATATCAGAAGAAGCACAGAAACAGTTCCCCACGGTGCCCGATTTCATCCTCCTGCCATAGAGCCAAGCGATCGATGCCACAACCGCAGCCGCCAGTGGGTGGCAGGCCATGTTCCAGTGCGATAACAAAGCCTTGATCCACGTTTTGCGCCTCCTGCGCCCGCATTCCACCGGGATGAAAATTGGGGGATGGAAATGATCATTCCATCCCTCACTGGGGATGAACATGTGGGATTCATTGGCGGATAAAAAATTAGGATTCGTTCAGGGATGAAAATCAATCCTCTAAACCACAGCCTTGAAACATCTTTTTGCTGTCATTGGCAGCTTCCTCATGCTTCCAGTCAAGTTCAACCAAAACTGGTAAAATTTGTAACACCATGCCTCATCACCTTGGCTCTTTGCCACGGCTTGGTCCTGACAATGGGCCCCAAAAGATCCGTATGCAATTGCGCCAATCAACCAGTTGGGGTTCCTCACCAATTGTATCACATTGGTGGACATCTATGGAATTCCGACTCAGCCACGTGCCTGGAAACAAGCCAGCTGCCGTTCAGGATCGTTCAGCTCAGTGTAGGCATTACAGAGCTCCTAGCACGACTTTCTACGAGCACCAGGACTTGCAACATCTTCCAACTCCCACATGTTCCAATATGTGTCCGTCCCCTCCCCTTGCACAACATGACTTGACAACGTTTGACTCTCCATGACCATCCCCTGAACAGTTTCCAAATGTCTCCAGGCCTTGCCCATCACAAACATCTCAAAGCGCTCTGTCAGACCTTCCTTGCTGCGATGCCACTTGGCCAGTGGACTCATCACCTGCAACCAGTGATCGCAGCCTGGAAGCTGTGCCCACCCGTGTGAAAGTGGACTACCATCGACTGCCTGAGGGTGCTCAATGATGAAGGTGGGGCTCACAATGTGATCCTCAATGAAGTGGCCACAAAGCCTTGGAGCTTTGCGTTTAACAGCCGAATCAAGAGGTCAGTGACTGCTTACACATATGAGCAAACCTGGATATGCAGATCGCACTGCGGAAGTTCTTCTTCGAAACATCATTCATCATCCTTCATCAACTCTGCCATTCTTCACCTGTTGGTGCCAACACCTTTTTCGGTCATCCGCCGGGCGACTTGTCCAACAGCCGCGGCGCCGTTCGAGGTGCTGGGCAATCCAGGCGTAACGACTTCACCAAGTCATCAAGGACCTGCAGTCTGGGGATGTCCCTTCGAAAAATTGAAGATTTACCTAGGAAACATGGGGAGATCATGGAAATGACAACCAACTTCATAAATGATATTTGGGTTTGTCTGAACGTGGTGTACCCAACATCCATTGGTTCATCATTTTCCGATTAAAATGGCCATGACTGGAGGGGTACACCCCAGTCGCAGACAAAACCCAGGGCAAGTTGCAGTCAGCAAAACTCAAACCTAGCTACCACTTAGTTCGCAATCCACACATGTGGAAAATGAGAGCATTGAACCCGCCAAGAGTGGGGACAGAAGCAGTCATTGAAATAAACATGGGCAAGGCGCGAAATATTGGAACCACCCTGCAATCAAGAAACAAGATGAAGCCCACGAACCCGAATGCTCACACGTATGTTAATGGTACAGATGTCAAAACACATGGTTATGCAGTCACGCACAATACCTTTCTGCAATAGTTTATTTGAACAGTCTTGTACATGTTTCCCTTGTTACCAGTCTGCAGTGTGGAGTGGAAAGTGTAGAGTGTGGAGTGTGGAGTGCGAAGTAAGGAGTGTGGAGTGTAAAGTGTGGAGTGGGGAGTGTAGAGTGTGTAACGTGTAGAATGCGGAGTGTAAAGTGTAGAGTGTGGAGTATGGAGTGTAAAGTGTAGAGTGTGGAGTGTAGAGTGTGGAGTGTGGAGTGTAGAGCGTAGAGTGTGGAGTGAGGAGTGTAAAGTGTGGAGTGTGGAGTGTGGAGTGCAAAGTGAGGAGTGTGTAAAGTGTGGAGTGAGGAGTGTGGAGTGTAAAGTGAGGAGTGTAAAGTGTGGAGTGAGGAGCGTGGAGTTTGTAAATTGTAGAGTGTGAAGTGTAGAGTGTAAAGTGTAGAGTGTAAAGTGTAGAGTGCGGAGTGTAGAGTGTAGCGTGTGGAGTGTGAAGTGGAAAGTGTAGAGTGTGGTGTGTAGAGTGTGGAGTGTGGAGTGTAAAGTCTGGAGTGTAGAGTGTGGAGTGTGGAGTGTAAAGTGTAGAGTGTGGAGTGTGGAGTGTAAAGTGTGGAGTGAGGAGTGTAAAGTGGAAAGCGTGGAGTGTAAAGTGGAAAGCGTGGAGTGTAAAGTGTAAAGTGTGGAGTGTAGAGTGTATAGTGTAGAGTGTAAAGTGTAGAGTGTGGAGTGTAGAGTGTAAAGTGTAGAGTGTGGAGTGTAAAGTGTGGAGTGTAAAGTGTGGAGTGAGGAGTGTAAAGTGTGGAGTGTGGAGTGTAAAGTGTGGAGTGTGGAGTGGAAAGTGTGGAGTGTGGAGTGAGGAGCTGTGTAAAGTGTGGAGTGAGGAGTGTAAAGTGTGGAGTTTGTAGTGTAAAGTGTGGAGTGAGGAGTGAGGAGTGTAAAGTGTGGAGTGTGGAGTGTAAAGTGTGGAGTGTAAAGTGAGTGTGGAGCGTAAAGTGTAGACTGTGGAGTCTGGAGTGGAAAGTGTAGAGTGTGGAGTGAGGAGTGTAAAGTATAAAGTGTGGAGTGTGGAGTGTACAGTAAAGTGTGGAGTGTGGAGTGCGGAGTGTGGAGTGGAAAGTGTAGAGTGTGGAGTGTGGAGTGTAAAGTGGGGAGTGTGGAGTGTAGAGTGTGGGGTGAGGAGTGTAAAGTGTAAAGTGTGGAGTGTAAAGTGTAGAGTGTGGAGTGCGGAGCTTCCCCCATAGACACGGCGACGCCACAGGAAAACCAGAAACTCGAAACGAGACACGTGGGTGCAAAAAAACAAGCATTTCCTGCGAGACTTCCTCCAATTTTGATATTTTCGACAGGTTATCAAACAGGTTGGAATGTCACAAAGTGCCACACCTGCCACGCAAAACGATATGACAACCTGCTTGGACACATTCGAATAGGAGATATTTTCCAGCTTCCCCATAGACACGGCGACGCCACAGGAAAACCAGCGACTCGAGACAAAACACGTGGATGCAGAAAAACCAGCATTTCGTACGAGACTTCCTCCAATTTTGACATTTTGGACACATTGGAATGTCACAAAGTGCCACGCCTGCCACGCAAAACGACATGACAACCTGCTTGGACACATTCGAATAGGAGAGGTTTTCCAGCTTCCCCCATAGACACGGCGACGCCACAGGAAAACCAGCGACTCGAGACAAGACACGTGGATGCAGAAAAACCAACATTTCGTACGAGACTTCCTCCAATTTTCATAGTTGGCAACATGACAAAAGGACAAGTTTTGCAGCTTCCCCCATAGACACGGCGAGGCCGCGGGCAAACCAGAGACGCGAGACGAGACACGTGGGAGCACCAAAACGAGCATTTCGTGCGAGACTTCCTCCAATTTTCACACTTTGTAGCTTCAAAATCGACGTTTTCCTACGAGTTTTCCTTAGAACCTGAAAATTTGCAACCTCAAAATCGATGTTTCGTGCGAGGCTTCCGTCAATTTTCAGCACATCACACAAAATGCCACGCCTGCCACGGAATTTGCACCTTGTCACCACTTGACGCAGCCCTGCCAATGCGATTTGCAAAAAACACGCAACAGGACACGTCTAAAGTGCTGCGCCTGCCACGAAAAATGACGATGGACACGTCCAAAGTGCTGCGCCTGCCACGAAAACTGCAACACATCTTCTGAAAACGTCACAAAAGTATTGCGCCTGCCACGCAAAACGACTTTCGACACGTTCCAGAACACGTCTGAATGTCACGAAGTGCCACGCCTGCCACGCGAAACGAAGCAACGACACGTCTGCAACCCCCAAAAAGGACCACCTCTGCAGAACTTCCCATAGGCACGGCCATACGGGGATCGCGCGAACACTTGCGGACGGTTGCGAACGGTTGCGAACGGTTGCGCTCGTGAACGCAACGTCGAGCGAACACACCCTCAACCCCCAGACCCCCAGAGTGAAACGGGAACCCTTGCTACGCATTCGGGAAAAAGGGTTGGTTGGCAAATATTGAAACTAAACCCAATTGATGTTCCACTTGGGAGGGAGAAAAAAACCTGCGTTTGGAAGTTTGGAGGTGCGCAGAGTAAGTGGGTATAGAAAACATGCACAAAGCAAACGCAATCTAAGAAAATCAATGAAACTTATACTAAATATCTATATATATATATCTAAATTCTTGTTGTGAGAAAACACTTCGAAGATGGTTCCTGCTGCTATTCAGAGTTTCCTTTTCAAGGAATTGTGTTTCCAATCCCTCAGGAGGAGCCTCCCGGGCAGACTCATCTTCAAAGTTCCGGGGCAAACTTTTGCCGGTGTGTTTCTCAATCTCTTCCACCATTGAGATGCGGGGCCAGGGGGGCGTGAAGTCGATTGAGACCTCACCAGCAGCATGGCGTGTTTTGGCTTGCCTACATGCTACCAATGGGCACACGTGTGTTTCACAGAGTGTCTAACATCAAAGACACCTGCGCGGTGCTATGTAACTTGTCCGTAAATCAGCATACGCAATAGTGCCGATTTTCGCCCAGTCAGCCAAGTTGCGGCATCTTTTTCCGGTCCATTGGGATGATATTCAGTCCTTAGCCACCAGCCATGTCTCCTTTTGGGGATCAAGGACCATTATGCCAAGGAACACATAGCCACCAGTCAGTTCCAAGACCATTCCACTGATGAGTTCCTGCAAAGAGTTGGCTGAACTTGCTTGGATTCTACGATTGAGTTCGGTACAAATTTTATACACAAATAGCTCTCTCCATTTGCCTTCTCCAAAAGTACGAATATAGACTATAGAGATAATTAGATAGGTCGTCTTACATCCAAATATATCTGCACATAGGCATGCAGCCTCATATATACATAGATATGCTATGTACATCACGTATACTATATACTTGCATCGTCGGGGCCATAGTTTTGGTCAGTACACAGTGCATTGACTACTGCTTTTGCGAGTTTTTCGACCAGAGTCCGTATATCTTTACAAGACTTGTTCCAAGACTATATGTGTATATGATTGTATATGTGCGTATGTGTGTATAATTGTGTATGCACTTATGCTGTTCACAGATTCATGTGTTCCCCAGGCGACCTGACACAGGTCCAGCAGCCTCGGTGAGATTCATCATCTGGTCATAGTCTGCGTAGGCCATGTAAAATTCACAGGTTGTGAACCTTGGGGCGCCGTTTGGAAAATCTGATGGTTGAAATAAATAATAATAAAAACATCCGCAGCAACAAACCAAACAAAGACAGCATGCAGTGTGAGTTCAGAAGGAAACCCATCCAGTAGGACGAGCTGCTCTGGGTTGTGTGTGAGGTCGATTCCCTCGTTGCGAAAATTGCGGCCTATCTCGAAAACACGGTCCAGGCCACCAATAACAAGCCTGAGTTTCGACGGCTGGGACTAGCAAGCAGAGAGCTGACCCATGTTTTCAGCCTCTAGACTATAGAGATCTATAGAGTATGATTCCAGGCCCACGCAAGTTCGCTAGGGTTGGATGGCAGAATAGTGTGTCACTATGTGTCACTTTGTTTTCTGGATCTGGGAGCTCAGTGGCTGTTTCAGGTAAAGCTCCGGGGCAATTCGCATGTACCTCAGGCTGAGGTACATGGAACATCATGGAACAGCATGGAACATGTTTCAAAAGCAAAGATGGAAGCAACTGAATTCGTTCGAGACTGTTTGAAACTTTGTGTGCCGAGTTGCAAATCCATGTCTAGCTCATTGTGTCTGGTAATGAAGGGCTTGGCAGAGGCACCGCCTGCGATTGCATTCCTTGGGTGCAGGCTCACTAGCAGCCGGGAAACATGATGCCCGTACTGCAAGCCACTTGTGAGGCAAGACATCTGACAAGAGACATCATGGGCGTCTCAACTTCCAGGAAACCTTTTTCCTGCAGAATTTCATCACGGCTGAAGCGACAGAGAAACAGTTGAAAAAATAAGAAAAAGCTTGGGTTTTTGACCAGCCCTCTCCTGAAGATAGCGCCTGATGTAATTCGTTACTGCAGATCTCAGCCGGAAGGTTTTGCGCACATCTTCGTTGATCATCAAATCCAAATATCCTTAGCACACATGAGTGGGCCATCGAGGAAGAAACCATTTGGCATGAGACAATCGCTAAACTCAGAATACATTCCTCTGGCTGGCAAAGCTGCTCAAAGTCTTTGAAACAGCAAACTATGAGAAACCGAGAGGGTGAATGCGTCCGCACTATGTTCTTCCATGGTGCTCTTGCGATATCTTGTTTCCTGATCTTTCAAACCTGCCAGCGACATGCAAAGATCGCTGGGGAAAGGCCAGGACCAAAGACTGGTACAAATTCTGATCGAGCACCGTTCGAACCGTTCGAAGCCTTGCTGGCCTGAATAGTCTTTGGGCAACATGTGCAAACATGGCGAAAGTAGTTTCACTTCTCGAGGAAAGACTGAAAGTTCTCCGCGTTTGGATTTCCCAATCACTCCGCGGACGCCAATGATGTCCTTAGATTGCCACAGGGCAATTGCAATGAGGAAACTTTGGCCCCATAGACTTTTTTGATGCGGCCATTCCCAAACAGAACCAAATCATTCCAAGATTTTCCAAGAAACTCCACGATGAATGTTTGCATGAACTTCCTTGAAGTCTTCTCCCTCATGCATTTGAGGGCTGCACATCACCTCACGCGCCAAGAATACTTTGGCAAACATAACCGACCCACATGGCAAGGGTGGCGGGATCGGCACCTGGATTCGGTCTTCACCTTCGGAAAGGTCATAGAACTTCAATTTTGCCCCGGAGGATCTCAGACTCTTCACACGGCCAGCTATCCTGACCTCCACCTGGGAGACCAAAACTACTGCATCCTGGTACTAGCTGCTTCAAACTCCTTAACTGAAACTAAACAGACAGATTGAAAAAATATGAACAAATTACCTCCTAACTCCTAACATTGTGCATCTGACATACCATGGGAACATAAAAACCTGCATCGTAAAGATTAACACGCATGTCATTTAATAGATGAATATTCACGCAATTTGGGTTGCAGGCTCGCCTCATCCACCCGAGCACCATCTTCCAGGTCAGAATAGTCAGCGATCAATTTTGCCAAGGAGGTGTTGACTTCCCACATATGCGGGTAGGCTTCCACACCAGTCTGTCATCCGCATTGCTGCCACGGTGTCACAAAGGGAAGGCTAGTCAAACGGTTTCATTCTCTCAAATCTTAAGTTGCACAAGAATACCCTGATCGAACTACCCAACCCGCCTGCCTCTTTCAACTGTTTTATCCGATTTTCCCGGTATGCGGTGGGATCTATGGCGGCCTGGTTGGAGAATGATTGGAATGAATGCATGGGCCATTCCTGCAACACAGCCAACAGCTGTTGTTGTCAACATCCGGGGCAAAAAAATATCTCATTCATACACGGCCTGCAAGGATTTTTTGTGGCGGGGTGGCGGGGTGGCGGGGTTTCTCTGGTCTGCAAAGGTTGGTTTTGCAAATATGTTCGGATAAGACTGACAGGGCCTCTTCTGTCTGTCTGGCTGCTTTGGCCAAGGCAATGTGGGCTGCACTGCGGGCATTTCGGCCTGCATCAGCCACAGCGAGCACCAGCAGGAAATCTCTCAGTGTCACCTCTGCCATCAAGTCGAGTTGAATCACCCGGGGTCCAATGTTTTGTCAACGAAGAAAAAACTTGCAAATTTCCATGAGTTGCGCCATGTTGCGCCTGCGCACTTCTGATGCACAGAAACACGCCATTGTGGCTTTGGCCCGGGCCAGCGAAAAGTGAACAGCGGAAACCTGCAAAAGTTATTGTGCAACACATGTTTTCGTGAAAGTTTCAACATCGGAGAAATGGTACTTCAAAAAAAGGAGTGGCCTGCAGTGAAGCAAGGCCGCAAGCATTAGCCAGAAAGCTGCCAAACAAGGAATCCTCAAATGTCTGGCATTCAAACATCCAGGTGTAAAATCTCACCATGGTGCAGAAAAAACAATGGGATCATGTCAATCTTCTCATATTCCAAATCAGTCCGCGATGCCGTTCCATTGTGAAAACGCATCAATTTTGGTCATCGGTGTGGCAATCCTGCTGCGCATCTGCGGCATCCGCCCCCCGCGGCCAGCACGGCTAAGAAAATTGGTGCAGCACGTGGAGAATTCCCGCATTGGAGGAACACTTGGACAGGAAGTACCAATCTTACCAAATACGGAATGTACAAGTTGGTTTCCATGGGGGTGGCAGTAATTCATGTTTGTTTGAACTGTTGCAAAGACCGCACTTGCTTGTATGTTTGTACCAATCCATTGCAACCATGTGCCAAACTTCCAGCGGGCAGTTGCAAATTGAGAAGCACATACAAATGACCGAAACATGCCAAACTGGAGTGATGAAATGCCGCAATGGCATTTGCAAAGTCAAACATGAAACAAGATCAGCACTTGCTGGCACAAACATTCAAAAACTGAACCAATCAATGTTCAGGACATCTTGCATCATTTTATCGCGCATGCCTTGCAGGTTTTTCCAAACCCATGTAACGGCCCATGTATATCAAATTTAACGCATCCATGTGTTTTAGTTCATGACTTATGCGTCTCCTCAAAAGCAAACGTGTCGAGCAAACGTGTCGAGCACGACCTGACTGCAATGCTTTGCTTGGAACAGCGTTCCCAATATATACTACCCTACCGATTAAAAACATTACGAATTATAATTATAATAATCAATAATCAAATTTGATACATTGGCGTGGCCTTTGATTGCGCTACCGTCAATTTTTCGTGGGATAAAATCGCTGGGCATATATGGGCGTGCCCTTTGTGTTTGCAGCAACTCTGTGCCATTTTAATGTGCGCTGCGAAAACCCGAGCAATGCCCCCACAGATCAATTAGCCTAAATTTGTAGGTGAGTTGCACAACAATGGGCCACTGGCAAGCACAATTTTGAAGTCATTGCGTTGAATTTCGCTGGGTACATATTTGCATCGTCTCCGGCATCCTGGGGGCCATCCGCCCACGACGCAGATACAAAATTGGATCCGCGGAAGGAGGTTCCTTTTCCAGCTTGAATACTCTCACCCCATTTTTCCGTGTCACACACGCCCACCTATAACACTCTGCTAAATCCTGGGCCTTAAGAACAAGAGAAACAAAAACAACAGCAACAACAACAACAACAACAACAGCAACAGCAACAAGACCAGCAACAAGACAAGACCAGCAACAAGACCAGCAACAAGACCAGCAACAAGACCAGCAACAAGACCAGCAACAAGACCAGCAACAAGACCAGCAACAAGACCAGCAACAGCAACAGCAACAGCAACAATGATAGCAACAACAACCACCACCACAACCACCACCACCACAACGGCAACCACCACGACAACCACCACGACAACCACCACCACGACCACCACCACAACTACCACCACAACCACCACCACAACCACCACCACAACCACCACCACAACCACAACCACCACGACAACCATGACAGCAACAACGACAGCAACAACGACAGCGACAGCGACAACCAGGATAGATTTTTTGTGCATGGCCGTGGCCGTGGCCGGGTGGCCGTGGCCGGGTGGCCGTGGCTGTGGCCGGGGCGATGGGGGAAGTGGCTGTGGCCATGGCCGTGGCCGGGTGACCGGATGGCCGGCTGGCTGGATGGCCGGGTGGCCGGATGGCCGGGTGGGGGCGGGTGTGGCCGGGTGGCCGTGGCCGTGGCCGGATGGCCGGATGGCCGGTTGGCCGGTTGGCCGGGATTTGTGGGTAAGTGGCGGTGGGGGGGGGAGGAGCGTATTTAGAAGTTGATTGTAATTTGCTTACTGCTTATTTCAACAATATATCAAGCAGCGTTTTGCTGTCCTGTATGTGGCGCAAGATTGCTTGAACAAATTTACCATATATGTCCCAACCAGAAACATCGATTTGTGTGCTAATTTTCGTACCCACATGTATAAACTCATTCCCCTTTAAGACAACACGATCACTCCATGCAGTTCAGCAGTTCAGTTCTTGCCTCGTTTGTCAAAACTCTATTTGACAATCGCTTTCATTATCACATGGAATAGCCACAGGAAGCCAGCACCAGTAGCATGTCTTTCACGGGAGGAGATGGATGAAGTGAACAAAAGGTGTACACCAGCATATGACGGCGAAGACAAGCACTTGACTCGAGTTGCATCATCGAATAGGAAACAACTTGTTAAACAAGGTGCCGGGCATCTGGGAGGCTTGCAATTGTCGTCACTTTTCAAACATTTTCTAGGGGGGAACTGAAAAGGCTCAAAAACGAAACTTTAGTATCGTCAGCAAAATGATCGTCATCATCATCATCATCATCATCATCATCATACGGTGAGAACATACAACAGCGTAAAAATAACGCATGTGTAGAAATGCAAGAGTACCTACAACGTAGCATGACGTATGTGTGGAAGTGCAGGAGAATCTACAGCGTAGCATGACACATGTGTAGAAGTGCAAGAGTACCTACAGCATAGCATGACGTATGTGTGGAAGTGTAAGAGAATCTACAGCGTAGCATGACGCATGCGTAGAAGCGCAAGAGTACCTACAGCGTAGCATGACGTATGTGTGGAAGTGCAAGAGAACCTACAGCGTAGCATGACGCATGTGTAGAAGTGCAAGAGCACCTACAGCGTAGCATGACGTATGTGTGGAAGCGCAGGAGAATCTATAGCGTAGCATGACACATGTGTAGAAGTGAAAGAGTACCTACAGCGTAGCCTGACACATGTGTGGAAGTGCAAGAGAACCTACAGCAGCGTAGCATCTACAGCGTAACATGACACATGTGTGGAAATGCAAGAGGACATACAGCAGCTTAACATTTCACATGTGTGGAAGCGCAAGAGTACCTACAGCGTAGCATGAGGTATGTGTGCAAGTGCAGGAGAATCTACAGCAGCGTAGCATGACACACGTATGGAAGTGCAAGACTACCTACAGCGTAGCATGACGTATGTGTGGAAGCGCAAAAGAACCTACAGCGTAGCATGACGCATGTGTAGAAGCGGAAGAGAATCTACAGCGTAGCATGACGCATGTGTAGAAGCGCAAGAGTACCTACAGCGGAGCATGACGTATGTGTGGAAGTTCAAGAGAACCTACAGCGTAGCATGACACATGTGTAGAAGTGCAAGAGAATCTACACCAGCTTAACATTTCACATGTGTGGAAGTGCAAGAGTACCTACAGCGTAGCATGAGGTATGTGTGCAAGTGCAGGAGAATCTACAGCAGCGTAGCATGACACACGTATGGAAGTGGAAGACTACCTACAGCGTAGCATGACGTATGTGTGGAAGTGCAAGAGAACCTACAGCGTAGCATGACGCATGTGTAGAAGTGCAAGAGTACTTACAGCGTAGCATGACGTATGTGTGGAAGTGCAGGAGAATCTATAGCGTAGCATGACACATGTGTAGAAGTGAAAGAGTACCTACAGCGTAGCCTGACACATGTGTGGAAGTGCAAGAGAACCTACAGCGTAGCATGAGGTATGTGTGCAAGTGCAGGAGAATCTACAGCAGCGTAGCATGACACGCGTATGGAAGTGCAAGACTACCTACAGCGTAGCATGACGTATGTGTGGAAGCGCAAAAGAACCTACAGCGTAGCATGACGCATGTGTAGAAGCGGAAGAGAATCTACAGCGTAGCATGACGCATGGGTAGAAGCGCAAGAGTACCTACAGCGTAGCATGACGTATGTGTGGAAGTGCAAGAGAACCTACAGCGTAGCATGACACATGTGTAAAGTGCAAGAGAACCTACAGCAGCTTAACATTTCACATGTGTGGAAGTGCAAGAGTACCTACAGCGTAGCATGAGGTATGTGTGCAAGTGCAGGAGAATCTACAGCAGCGTAGCATGACACACGTATGGAAGCGCAAGACTACATACAGCGTAGCATGACGTATGTGTGGAAGCGCAAAAGAACCTACAGCGTAGCATGACGCATGTGTAGAAGCGGAAGAGAATCTACAGCGTAGCATGACGCATGGGTAGAAGCGCAAGAGTACCTACAGCGCATGACGTATGTGTGGAAGTTGAAGAGAACCTACAGCGTAGCATGACACATGTGTAGAAGCGCCTACAGCGTAGCATGAGGTATGTGTGGAAGTGCAAGAGAATCTACAGCAGCGTAGCATGACACATGTGTGGAAGTGCAAGAGCACCTACAGCGTAGCACCACGTATGTGTGGAAGCACAAAAGAACCTACAGCGCAGCATGACGCATGTGTAGAAGTGCAAGGGTACCTACAGCGTAGCATGACGCATGTGTGGAAGCGCAAAAGAACCTACAGCGTAGCATGACACGTGTGTGTGGAAGTGAATGAAATGCAAGAGAGCGTACAGATATGTTGCATCACATATGTTTGGAAGTGCCTATGACGTTATTACCCCACCCCACCCCACCCCCCACACACAATGTTATTTTCTTAGTAGAGTGCAAAAAAATGACAACCGTCGCGAGCTCTCAGATGCCTGGCACCTTAAACAAGTGGCAAGAAACGATCACAATGTCATATCACAGAAAACTTGTAAATATCATCAATAGAAATTAAAAGGGCAGATAGTCACGGTAGTTGACACCTGCTTGTGACTGTTGGATGCTCAAACTGCTTGGGCCCTGAAAATCTTTTAAAAAAATGGCGCTGCGTGCCCTGCAGAGCCAATGAAACATCTGAATAATTATTATCTCTCATCGACATCACCATCATCACCACCACCACCATCATCATCACTACCAGTAGCATTACCGTGGAAACATGGGAAATTCAGCTGAAAGTGAAGATCTTGTAGGTGCATTTGCATTCACTTGCGTTTTTTTGGGTAAAATTGCTATTGGCAGCACAAAAAAAAAGTTAATTCCTTGCAAACATGATTTAGAACAGTAACACCTGGTTATGCGTGTTCCATGCAAAATCTACCACAACCATAAGGTTGAGCGCATGAGAGAAGTAGCATCAAGAGCGTGTTGCGTGGTTGCTTGAGAACAAGGGCGTAGCATCAAGAGCGCGTGACATGCTGCTTGAGATAGTTAAGCGCGTAGCACCAAGAGCCTGCAAGTTGTTTGAGAAATTTGGGAACATAGTGCCAAGGAACCTCTTTTGAATTGTTTCAGAAAGTTGAAGGCCCGAAAAGGTTAGCACCAAGAGCGTGTTGTAAATTGCTGGAGAAAGTTGAAAGTGTGGGATCAAGAGTGTGTTGCCAGTCGCCTGAGAAGTTCCAAAGAGTAGCAGGAAGAGTGCGTTGCAAGTTGCTTGAAAAGGTTCAGCGCATAGCATCAAGAGCGCGTTGCAAAGCTGCCTGGGAAAGAAAAGAGCATAGCACCAGGCACCATGCAGGAGCGTGTCGCAAGTTGTTCGAAAAAGTTAAGAAGCTCAAAACACTTGATTCCATCAAAAACGCAGGAAACAGGTGGCCGGCTGGCCGGCTGGCCGGATGGCCGGGTGGCCGGGTGGCCCTGTGGGGTCCGAGACTCACTTAAGCCGACTTTTTTACTCATTATAAGCCGACATTTTGTATGTTGACTTCAGAGTTAACTCCATGGGGTACAGACCTTTAGGTTAACACTTGGGGACACTTGGGGTGGGTTTAGGGGACACTTGGGGACACTTGGGGCGGGAGTAGGGGACACTTGGGGACACTTGGGGTGGGCTTAGGGAACCAACTCCAAGGGATACAGCCCTTTAGGTTAACACTTGGGGACACTTGGGGACACTTGGGGTGGGTTTAGGGGACACTTGGGGACACTTGGGGTGGGCTTAGGGAACCAACTCCAAGGGATACAGCCCTTTTGGTTAACACTTGGGGACACTTGGGGTGGGTTTAGGGGACACTTGGGGACACTTGGGGTGGGCTTAGGGAACCAACTGCAAGGGATACAGCCCTTTTGGTTAACACTTGGGGACACTCGGGGACACTCGGGGTGGGTTTAGGGGACACTTGGGGACACTTGGGGTGGGCTTAGGGAACCAACTCCAAGGGATACGGACACTTGGGGTGGGTTTAGGGGACACTTGGGGAAACTTGGGGACACTTGGGGTGGGTTTAGGGGACACTTGGGGACACTTGGGGTAGGCCTAGGGAACCAACTCCAAGGGATACAGCCCTTTAGCTCAACACTTGCGGACGCTTAGGGGACACTTGGGGACACTTGGGGTGGGTTTAGGGGACACTTGGGGACACTTGGGGTGGGCTTAGGGGACACTTGTTCCTGATACGTTGTAGCATCCTCTTCGAGTGACTTGCAACACGTTCCTGCTGCATTGTGACATCTTCTGCGCGGCCCTTCCGCCATGTTCCATGCATGACGTTGTCACATCTTCTTCAAGTCCCTTGAATGATGTTCTTGCTATTTTGCAAACATCTTCGTCAAGTAGCTTGCAATACATTCCTGATACGTTGCAACATCTTCCTACTTGTAAGTAAATTGCACGACCTTCCTGATACATGTGTCACCTCGTCTTACAGTAACTTGCCAGATGTTCCTGATACGTTGTAGCATCTTCTTCAAATGACTTGCAACACGTTCCTGCTGCATTGTGACATCTTCTGCGCGACACTTCCGACATGTTCCATGCATGACGTTGTCACATCTTCTTCAAGTCCCTTGAATGATGTTCCTGGTTTTTTGCAACATCTTCGTCAAGTAGCTTGCAATACATTCCTGATACGTTGCAACATCTTCCTACTTGTAAGTAAATTGCACGACCTTCCTGATACGTCGTCACCTCGTCTTACAGTAACTTGCCAGATGTTACTGATACGTTGAAGCAACTTCTTCAAGTGAGTTCAAACATGTTCCTGATACATTGCGACATATTCCTGATACGTTGAAACATTTTCTGCAAAGTGACATGCAATTCATATGATCGAATCAAAATGTCCTGCTCATCATCTCTGTCGGACCTGTTGCAGTCATATTGAAAGACTTCTATGTCACTTTCTATTGGTGCTGCCATCATATTTCACAAACGTAGGCGTAAGCGAGTAAAAACGTAGGCTTAAGCGAGGTACTGACCCCGTGTGGCCATGTGGCCGTGTGGCCGTGTGGCCGTGTGGCCGTGTGACCGTGTGGCCGTGGTCGGGTGGTCGTGGCTGGGTGGCCGTGGCTGGGTGGCCGTGGCTGGGTGGCCGTGGCCAGGTGGCCGTGGCCGCGTGGCCGGGTGGCCGTGGCCGGGTGGCTGTGGCCGTGGCCGGGCCGTGGCCGGGATGGCCGGCAACTAAGAAAAGCTATTGTGTGCATACATACATACATACATACATACAAACATACATACATACATACATACGTACATACATACACACATACACACACACACATACACACATACACACATACACACATACACACATACACACATACACACATACACACATACATACATACATACATACATCCATCCATCCATCCTTCCATACATGCATGCATGCATGCATGCATGCATATTTATATATATATATATTTATTTAAGACCTTTTAAAGATCTTAGGGGTTCTTATGTGTGTGTGTTTCATACATAATCAAGTTTCAATTTACCTAAACAGACAGAACAATAAAACACAGAATGTCAAATATATCGATGATCCTACGGGCGCACATACAATACATACACATACACGCATACAGATACTACGCAGGTAGGCCCAGAGACCCCACATCGGTTCCCAAAGCCGTCCTCGGCCCTTCTTTTTCTCCTGACGGGGGAAACCGTGCGGGAATGCGCCGTGTGCAGAGGCCAGTGGATGGGAATTGGGGTGGCCATTACATCCTTCGATCTATATCATGGTGTACAGTCAATGTTTTCGGGTTGTCCGGGATGTAAAGACCGGGTTTTTATATTAACTAGTCTTGCCAAATATGAATTTTGAATGCGCAATCTTGAGGTTGCACACCAATGCTTATAATGGTTTGAAACATCGTTACATGGAAGATGCAAGTTGCCTTTAGCGACTAATTAAATGATTGTTCGTGGTCATTCCGGGCCCCAGCCGCACTCCCCGGCCTCAGTTCAGTTGTCTGAGGAGGTTCCTCACGTGCCGGGCGACCCGCTTCACCCAGGCACTGTGGCTGTGCCACACCCGCTGTTCCCGGAGGCTTCTGCGCGCCGCTGTTTGCACCAGCCCCTTGACCCGTTGGAGCCTTTGGAGCTCCCGGGCCGTAGAGACTTACACACACTAGCCCCCCCGCTTTACACATTCGCTATTCCTGGAGCGTAATCTTGTTATGACATGACACATTGCGCCAGACATAGTGCAGGACACAAGGAATGCTTTTTACCAGAAGCAGAAGGAATGAATGGTAGCAGATGATCAGACCAGTTTTGGCACGGCAGCACGAACTTGAACATTTTTTCGACCAGAGCAAGAATCACCGAGCCATGTGCCAGGCAACCAGAGTGCCCGAGGCAAGCCACAAGTCCTGGGTCCTGCAACAGTACTCGTATTGGGCACTCTTTTGCCCGCAGGAGAGGAGAGCCTACCTTGCAATGTTGGTTGATAGTGATCCTGTCCTTGAGGAAGCGCCAAGCGCGATCGATGATCTGGGTGCCGCCCTTGGTCTTGAATTTGCGACCCGTGTGTGGGTCTTTGTGGGTGGTGACTCTGACATAGGATGGCATCTTCCAAATCCACCTGCCCTTCACCTTCATGCACTTTTTGCAATGACGCACATGGTCATGCAACACACCACTCATCTTCAATTTGTAAGACTTGGCGGCGTCGGCACGCAGGACAACAGAACGATCTTGAAGGTGTTTGGTTGCTAGTGGATACCATTCCACCTTGCGGATCGCGCCAGGCCCGGGCGCTCTCCGAAAAGAAGTGTTGGGCGTCAACCTCTTCAACAGAAGTGTGTTTGGAGCACCGCGCTGAACAATGCCACACCACTGCTCCCAGATGACTGGCTGATTGGGGTCCTTGGCCAAGTCCTTGAGGTCAGTGTGTTGGAAGGTCGCCTCGTCTGCCTCCACGTCAATCCAATCCTTGCCGTTCCCGAAGACAATGTTCTTCTCCTTCTGCTCGACCCAAGCCTTGCGAAGATAGACGAGGCGGTTACTCATATCCTCGATGACTTTGTGGTTCAGATGCAAGATGCGGTGGATGGCCGCATGCGAGATGCCATTGAGCAACAGGAAGAGCAAAGCAGACTGTGCCTGCAAAGGCATGCAGCTTGAACCTGTCCCGTCAACGAAGATTGGGTGTAGATGGTGTGGGTTAATGTACTGCTGGCACCGAAAGTGATTGCATCGATGTTTGGGCATGCCTTGGCCAGACATTGACAGAAGCTTCGACAACTTGCCTTGTTCACATCTCGGACACGTTTTGCCTGCCCAACCATGTAGAAGTCCATCTTCACGAAGTAGCTTGACCACTTGCAAGTCAGTGGCTTGAAGGAGATCTGCAAGCTTCCTTTTCCATGATACTCTGTCCATACGAATCTCTTCAACAGCGCCTGTCCAGCGCACATAGGGCACCTTGAAGGTCGTGTTTTTGACATGGCGCTTCGTCACCGTCTTCCCATGCTTCTTTTCCGCCGTAGAGCAAGGAGAACGCTTCACAGCCATGACACAAAGTAGAATTTCCTAATCTAGCCTGTGAACCCAAAATCTTTTCAACGACAAAGACATGATGCAAAAGTGGCAGGGTCATTGTCCACAGCAACATGGTTTTGTTGGTACTAACACGAGCAAAACAAGTTGAGTAATAAGAGGAATTGAGGAACAACAATTTCCACGCATGCAAGCAGTCAGTAAGCTTTTTTGGCTGCAGATAAAATGTCGATGCTGGCCATCTCAAGCAACAGATCTAAGAATGCGCACCGCACGATCAAAATTCTCTCAGACAGCTGCTACCTGGGGGTGAAAGTCAGCCAAGGCAATCATGGAGTCCTTCTGGGTTCACACCGACCTCCGGGAAGCCAGGGTAGGAAAGGTCCATCTCCGCCTCCAGCGCACGCTCCAAGGTGTCCTCGTCATCCGGATGCGAAAGGCCCAGTGTGGCATTGCTGGGGTTTGGCACAAGAGACAGGATAGTTGAAGACAGCAGGTTGGACTTCCGTTTCTTCTGGGCAGGCGAAGGTGTATCCACTTCAATGACATGGCGAGGAGGGGTGCGCAGAGCCTTGAAAACGGCCTTCTCTTCTTTCACTCTGACTCCTTCATCCACTGCAAGGTCCCAGTTGGTCCATCCCATGCTGGCGCGATCTGTGTCGACATCCACTGGGTCCCTTCGGGTTTCACGAGCAAGGGAGGCATGCCCGTCGTGGTACCTGAGCAGGAATTGTATTGTTTTTAGATGACATTTGGCTAAAGCTTTTGTTCTTAAGCAGAAGGCTGAAGATGACAAAGAAGGCCAAGACATTCCTCGCTTTCCATCTTCACGAAGGGGATGCTGTGCATTGCTGTCTCCTTGGTTTTCTTTTCTGCCTTTTCAATTTCTGCAGCATGGCCAATAGCCTCCTGGAGCCACACCTGAGCAAGACAAGCAAACAGAAAGCGTGTGGGTTTTACAACATGGACTTTCATTTAGGCAGGGGCAGAAGAAGACAAGGCGCTAGCAATGAGCTGTTGCATACTGTTGCTATGTGGTGTGAAAAAATGACCACCTACTACCCATAGATATTATGTAAGATTATGAGGTTTTAGTCACTAATAAACAATATGTGGTGCGTTTAACGACAAATTCCCCATCATAAGTCTGAACCCAATTGGTAGATCATGTTTGCTGAACATACACATGTTATGCGACAGGTCCATTGCAACCCTCACTAACTATGGTTCACCATGGGGACTGATTATACCACGCAATGGCCGCAATGGATACTGATATGTTTCATCCTTGGTTATTCCTTTACCTATTAACAACCATTGCTAAGCCTCAGCGCTGAACAGACGAACGGCCATGTGTTTTGTCATTGCGCCATGTGACATGAATCAGACAATAGTTGCAGATGAGAAGCTGCTTCCCAAGCGCAATGCTGCTCATAGTGTTCAGGAGCCGCGCCACCTTCCTTGAAGTTCTTGAGCTTCGGCTTGGAGGTGTCCAGGAGGATGTCGGGTTTGTTCCATCGAATGCGGTAGGCTTTGGTTTCCCGTTCTGAAGGAAGTCGGAAAGTGATGTGATTCTTCCCAAAGACGATGAAAGCGCTGCGCTTGAGAATGGCCATAGCGTCTGTGCGGGACATGGTGCCCAGCGCAGGCCGGATCGTCAGAAAGAAGTCTTCATGCGACACGACGAGATCGGAGTCCAGGTTGTTGTCAGCTGGCCCAGCATCCGGATTGTAAGCGTTGTCGAACACTTCCCGAAGTTGATGACGGACGAACTTTGCACTGGTCCAACGAGCCCGTGTCATGGACTCATCATCTCCTACATCCGTGAAAGCCTTGCTTTGCTTCACCTCCTCTCCACTGGTATTGCCATCGTCAAACAGGGAAGGGACTGTCTTGCTGAAGTGGATGCCCTTGAAGAAGTCCAAGTCAGCAGTGGTACGAAAAGTTCCTTCACCTCCATGGTAACTGGAGAACATCATGGCAATAGTACGGCCAAGGGGGGTCTTTCCTCTGCCTGCTTCGCCTAACAGCCAAAGCGCATGAACCCGAAGACAAGGAACCACCTTCTGCATGATGTCCCTCATCTCAGGCTCGAAGTCGCCAATGGTGAGGTCGTACCTGAGCACAACTTGGCGGAAGTGGAATCATTGGCCAAAGAGTCAAGGGCCTTCTGTACTAGACGTTCCTGCCAACCATGAATGCGACAGCCTTCCAAGTTGATGTGGTGATGAATCCACTTCAGCTGCTTCAAATCACTCTTGTCTAGTTCTCCGTGGTCTTGAATGAATTGCCACCCATCATTTTCTGGCAAAGGGGCGTTGGATGTAGGGTTTTTCTTTTCTGGAGATAAGCTGTGCTTTCTGAACTGCAAGCCACCCAATTGTTCAAGCATCCACTGGAAAGTTTTCCTCACGAGCTTTTTGTTTTGACTGCCCCATGCGATTTCCTTGCCTGAGCCCCGGATAAGGGATTGAACATAAGTACCCGGCACATTGTCGTCGACGATATAGACATGCTTGAGCAAGATGAAGTGGTCATCACCTTGAGGCAACAGGAAGTATTGGTTGACAGTCTGGATGGTGGGGCGCACCTTCGGCTTCATCACCTCGGGCAATTCTTCCCAGGTTTGATCTCCGAAGATCGGATGGAGACCTTCAATGTCGATGGTGTTCTTGGGAATGTTCACCACAAGGTCGACGAAGTGCTTGATGTTAGGAGAGCGCGGGTCTTTAAGGGGAAGGCCCGTGGCTAACAAAGCTCCTGGCGGCATCGGACCAACGCAGACATGCGTAGGGAGTTCCCTCAAGAAGAGGCCCTGTGTGGCGGCCACGGCATTGTGCAAATGGATGGCATCAGGAGACACAGTCACCATGTTGACAGTAAGCGGGAAGCTCCTTAGGTGTTTTTTTGAGCAACGTTGCTGCATGAAATGGAACAATGAGGCGCTAAAGTATTTGCACTGCGTTGCGGTTGAACAGACTTACGTGACTTGCAAATGTGTAGAAGAAGGTGGGATCATGACTTAACATAAAGAACATATCGAAGTGTGCATCCCTGGTTAGTTAGTTACACTAGACATCTTTGGACTGCATGGCAGATCTCAGCAAGAAAGCCGCCGGGCATTCTTTTGCAAGCAACCTTCGGTGCAAGTTCAAGCAGCTACACCCTTCAGAAGTGCATGAGAAAGCTGCAACCAAAAGACAGTGAGTTGACAGTGTTGTTCTTCAGAAATTGAAACATATGTTATTAAGTTTGCACCGATTTCCTATGCACTTTCTGGTGTGCGGGGTGGAGACTCAAGACCCGGACTCGCTGGAGACGCCGGCCACCAATCGCCAGGAATCAGTCGCATGCCAGTCGGCATAGACCTGAAGAAGGCTTCCGGTGGTGTAGTAGGCGTTGAAGTCGTTGGCGGCGGCCCTGGTGGTGTGCCGGGGCCCAAAAGTTCCGGCGGCGCGGTAGGCGTTGGAAACACCAGCACAGAGTCTTGCCAAATGCTCCATAGCTCAAGAGGTGTCAGCGGAGCCATGTCTCCGTGGGTTACCATGGAGAACTCAAACCTGATGCGAGGGAAGTTGTCGGGGTTTGTGCTGAAAGTATCAGAAACACAGTGAAACATGGTAGTGCCTCTATGGGTTGCTAGTGGTTTGCAAAGAATGCACTGACACAGGCTTCATTCAGACAAGGTGCTCACACCCGCTGTCATCACCTGTCATATCATTATCCGACCTCGGAAGCAGAGCGAGCCATGATACTGGGGGAAGACCCTTGGGACAATGAATCATGCCGGACATGCCATGAAAGGAAGTAGCTTGCAAAGAATGGAGTGACACAGGCTTCATTCAGACAAGATGCTCGCACCCGCTGTCGTCAACCATCATGCCATCATCCGACCTCGGAAGCAGACCTGGTAATGATGCTGGGGGAAGACGCTTGAGACAATGAATCATTGCCGGACATACCAGGAAGAGAAGTCCATATTTATTCAGAATGCCTTGGAAGCAAAACTGGTAATGATGCTGGGGGAAGGCGCTTGGGACAATGAATCATTGCCGGACATACCAGGAAGAGAAACCTATATTTATTCAGAATGCCTTGGCTGAGCGTGAGACCATTCCAAGTAGCGCTTCGGCTTGGCCGCAGCACATGCGCGAGGCAGCAGTGGCATCGTGAAACAGATGAAGGTCAGGGATTGCTGATGGACAATGATGGCTGTCAAGAAGCGAGCAGACTGCATTTGCTTGTGTATAAATAATTTCCCCAAAAGAAAAAAAAACAAAGAATGCCAAAAATCCCAAAAATCCCAAAAATTTTAAAAAAAAATCCAAAACTACAGACCACATGGAGGTCCCCCAAGATTCTAGACATAGGGTCGGTTTTTTTGATTTTTTTCGATTTTTGTATGCACAATGTATTGATTGAAAATATACATGTGAAACATTCTATATTTGTAAATATATATATATTTTTTTGATACCCCCACTCAAGCTGAATTTGGTACAAAAATCAGAGGTCACCGTTCATCCCCTAAAATTCATCAAAAGTATCGCAAATACCAACAAAATCAACTGAAGCATAGGTTTTGGGGGGGGGTACCATATAATATATATGTGTGTGTGTGTGTGTTGGTATTTACATTAAACAATATCTACTGTAGGTATAGCCTTTTTTATCGAATTTTTCCTTTTTTATTGCATCCATCGATCTTTCTGCACTAAGAGATGTCTCAATCCTGAATGGCCGATCATTTTCATGTTTATATATAAATGTTAGACATTGTTTTTTTTAACCTGATAAATTCTGTTCTCAAGTCGTTGTTCGAGGAAATGTATCGGGTCATCGGTGATCAATCTACTTGCTCAAGCAATCTATGATAGAATCAAAAAAATTGATTGTGCATCGTTCGTGCTATTTAATCCTATCTGAGCCATCATGAATGCATTGCGGTTGGTCCTGGAGAGTCTGCCGCTGGCGCTGCGTGTGGTTCCGCCGGGGGTACTGCCAGTCAATGCAAACTGACGACGGTCAAAAAAGGACATGGGAAAACAACCCGGAAATAATAATTCAAAGGGCTCCGGCAAAATTCTACATATATTTTTCATGTATATTCAAAAAAAACACGATTAATCTCCAAATTGTCGCGCGGCAAATTGAGTAAGATGGTCGTCCCACCATTGTGCTGGTCGTCCTTGTTTGCGACCTGGTTTGGTGTCAAAATATTGGCCTCAATCTGTGGGAGGATGCCGTAAAACAGTTCTGGCTGGCCAAGCTGGCATGTGTTGTGCCACATGAATTGCAAATTTAAACTGGCGACTGGGAAAAAAAAACGATCTGACCACTTACGAACAAAATGCAGCGTCATCGCAAATTTATCAAATTCCAATCTACCTTTCATTTTTCACATCGTATCTTGCCATTGTTCGTTGTGTGTACGGACCCATCCGACAATGGAGCGTAGCATCCTTCGCTGCACTAATGGGTATTTGCAGTTTTGTCAATGTCAAAACTGCAAGGCCAAACATTGCCGTGGGGGACACCACCGAATCGAAAGACTACAATTTCAATTTGAGGGAAACATGTTTGTTTAAAATGTTGTATTGGTACTTATGAAATCTCGCCCACGCAGCATGAAGTCGATGACACATTCCACATTTGTTCGCGAAACCAAATCACCCGTTATTTTTTCCCACATATTTATGATTTATGCTTGCGTTCACCATGCAAAATCTCTATCAAGTCACCTGCCACTTCTGCAAAACACGGTTCCTCGAAACAGGCATTGGAAATTTAAGTTTTTGAGACGTTCAGCTCCAGACCAATGGATGCAAGTAGGAAGCAATAGTTCCAACATGTCCACAAGTTCCTCCATAGACTTTGCATAAGTGTCATCAGTGTACCTAATATTTATCAATCTTTCAACAGCACCAATTTGAAACCCGTGGTCTTTAATTTTAGTTTCCATTTCCGTAATGCGTGTTCCGGGCCTGCGTTGGAAAGAAAAGGGCTGATCACATCACCTTGTCGGACACCACGTTCAATATCAACAAATTTCCCGCGGAAATGCATCTTTTTTGGTTCCGATACAAATTCCACAATAAAGCGCAATAAGATTTTGGCACATGTTGCTGTTGCAATTGCAATGCCTCAAAAAGGGATTCAAATTCAATGCGATCAAACGCCTTCTTCGAATCAAAGTTTGAAAACCAAACGGTGCAATTCCACGCTTAATGTAGAGAACACGGTTCTCACCTGCCCGAAATGTTGAAATATGTTTCAAATATATACGCGTTCTACCATTCAGTGAGCGCCTCATTTTTTACCCTATTTTTCGTGGAAACTTGTAGCCCTACCTAACAATTCGCGAAAAAATGAAGTGATGAAAAAATTGCACCTTTCCTTCCCCCGTCCGAATCATTGACTATGGTCCCTTCAGGACAGGGGACAAAGTTGCAAGCAACGAAAATTGTTCTCGGCATTTCTCGGCAATGTGTTTCCAGAGGAAATGAAGTCACATTGGCACGGGCATGATGAATCCAAAGCGACTCACATTAACTATCCATAACTATGTTCACAAAAACTCGCGCAACACACCGTCCCATCTGTACGCCCGCATTCCGCCATTCATTGCCATCCACAGCCACCCAGCCAACGATTGCACGAAGCATCCGGCGCTGCACAACATTGGTTCTTTGAATTTGTGATGCCACCAACGGCTAGGAAACCAATCCAAACAACGCAGCCGGAAAATAATTGCAAAAAAAAACAACTTGAGGCCGGGGGTGGATGACGAAAGCTGGCGGGGTAGGAGAAAGAAGGAAGGGAAGAGGTGAGTTGCGGAGGGACTGTCATCATCGTGTCGCGGCATTGTTCGTCCCAACGAGGATGCAACAATGATATATTGATATATGATATATAACTTATATAACAATGATATATATGGGGGAGGGGGCAGGGGGGGCCCTTTCGCGGGAAAAATCACGTGATGTCCTTGGGGAACCCCGGAATACGTGCTAAAGCAAGAAGACTCTAGCGAGCTGACGCTAGCTTCGTGATAATGACAATAATTGCCAATAATGATAAAATGTAATTGAATAACGATGATGATGATGATGATGACGAGGACGAGGACGAGGACGATGGAGAGGACGATGACGATGATGATGACGATGATGATGACGATGATGATGACGATGATGATGATGATGGTGGTGATGGTGATGGTGGTGGTGGTGGGTGAGGGGGGAGGGGGAGGGGGTCCCCCCCTTTCGCGTGAAAAATCACGTGATGTCCTTGAGCAGCCCCCCCAATACTTGCTAAAGCAAGAAGACTCCAGCTAGCTGACGCTAGCTTTCGTGAAAAACAAGAAACATGGTGGTTTGTCAGCACATGTTTATCCTGATGCTTGTGAAATTTGGATCAAGGTTCAGATAAACGGGGAGGAGTTGTGCAGATGGTTTTGGTAGATACAAAGCGGAATGCATAGGGTGCACAACTACAAAATGTAGTGCATGTTACTTTTTTTGCGGTTACAAAATGAAGAACATAACTCTTTCTGGTTCGGAAAAAATTTCAAAACCAGTACCAGAAAATCCAACGCATCTGAAGTTAAAAAATAGCTGAACGTCGGAATTGCTAACATGATTTTTCCCAATGACATTTTGTAGTTGGGTCTTTGCCATCCAAAGTTCCGAGCTACATAAATTCGGAGAACATTTTGTAGTGGTCAATGATTGAATTTAGTTGGATCAAGTGTTGACCCCGTGCAGTTTGTTAGATGGCATTCTGTAGCTTCATGATCTGTTTGTGTCCATGTACATGTCACGCACTGTTTCCTTTTTTCCACCTCTTCTCACCTCTTCTCGTTGCGTTGAGATTTTATGTTGGATGCTTCAACTATTCAACTTGTACAACTACAAAATGCTAATGAGATTTTATGTTGGATGCTTCAACTAACGCAACATATACAACTACAAAATGAAAATGATGATTTGAAAGGAATCAACTACAAAATGATTCCAAATACAAAATAGGGGGCACAACCCCTCCTGTTTGTACAAAAAAATCCTGGCTGGCAATCTGTACTGTAGCCCAAGTCCTCCCCATTTCGTAGCTGAAATTTGAAGGCGGATAAATTTGGCCCAAACCACCTGCAAACGATGCTCAGGTTCAGTTTCCGATCTCCCCTTCAAATTTCTCATTTAAAAATTGCCTATATAAATACTTGTGCGCGTTTGTACCACGCAGGACTTCCACCACAGAACCACCAACTTCCACGTGGCAAGCATCAATCCTGTCAAAGGTAGTGATGATTTTGGTTCTGGATTCCACGGCAATTCCACAGCCACTTCCACGATGAGGACTTCAAACATATGACCAAATCACCACATGACTGGGCATAAAGGAGGAAATCATCAGCATAACGGGTATTTGTACGCCGTTCGTCCGCACCGATGTTTATACCATGGTGGCGCAGTGTCAGTTTCCATTTAGGTCTTGTTGATTC